AAAAAAAAAAAAAAAAAAAAAAAGAGAGTTCCAGTTGGGTCTGGCAGCTTAAACTCATCCTGGGTGTGTGTGTGTGCATGCCCAAAATCCCGAGATGAGAATGGAGAAGCGAATGCGGCCTGACCATCCCCCCCAGGGGATGATTTCTTGCTTTCTGTCTCTCTGAGGAGCACACACACCCTATAGCAAAAATCTCTCTTAAAAAAAAAAAAAAAAAAAAAAGCTTCACTAATGATGAGGGTTTGTTTTATGGAGTTCTCACTCTGAAAAGATAAAACCACAAGGAGACAAGCATTTTTAATAAAACGTCAGTTTACGAGGTGTTAAAAGTTTAAGTATCTCACTTTGCAGGGAGGTGGCAGCTAAGGAACTCAAAGGACAGGTAAGAGCCTCTAGTATGTATTAAGGAGAATCCAGTTAAGATACCTCACAAATGGTGACACCCTGGGGGCAAGAGAAACTGGCCTGCATTTTAGAGTCCCGGTAAAAATCTCCCTGTTAGCTAACAGGAACCTGCTGCTATGAATCAGTAAGGGACAGCAGTCTTGATTGTGAGTTTTATCTTCTAGGACATGTCATTATACTGTTCCCTGTTCTGACACAGATGATCAGTGAGTACAATAGCCAATTACTTTATCCCTCCCACAGGAATGACTCCACAGACGTGAGTGATAACTTGTTTCCATAAACGGCCCAACTCATCTTTCAGTTTGGCCTCTCTTCCTGAAAAGGTGAGACCTCTGCAGGACCACCAGCCAGCTCAGCCTGAGCACTGTTTCCGTGACGTGTTAAGAGAAGAGAAATGCTCCGCAACCTGACCCTTCTAGCCCAGAAACAGTCACAAAAATAGGCACAAGTGGTGACAACTGTGAAAGTCACAGCGACAGATGCCCAGCTCAGCGAACGGGGAGGAGGGACACAGGTGAGGCTGTGGATTTTGGCATCAGGCACTTTAGAGACGGCTCCCTGGACACCAGACCTCAGGCCACCCTGGGTCACACACACCTGTGTATCCCATCTGCCAGAGCACATCTGCCTGCAGCGTCTGGGCAACCTGGCGTGGGATGGCTCTCAGCAACCGCCTACTCGAATGCCTTCCTGTGGCATGCCAGAAGCCAGAGCCCAGGGAGAGGCTGGCCCTTCGCAGGGGACGCGATGACTGCCACTTCTGGCTCCACCGGGTTTCGTTACAGGGCACGATGGGGTCAGCTGGAGTCGAGGGAGAGAGAAAGATCAGATAGCTAAGAAAAAACACCAGGACTACACCACAGCTGCCAAGCAAAGCACCCATTCTGAGCAGTGAGGACGACCTTTTGAAACGGTGTTTGAAGGAAAGTGGATTCCTTCACTTTTCTAGAAGGACACTCCTGTTGCAATTAAAATAATGGGATATTATTTAGTTGTCACATTATTTCCAAATAGTTCTGTTTTGTAATTTTCAAACCAAATTAAAGCAAGGAAGGACTGATAAAATTATTTTTCAAGAACCAAACTAAGGAAAAACAGATTTTCCATAGGCAACTTATTCTCACTGAACTAGAAGAGCTGGTGGGGGCGGGAAGTGTCAGGAAATGGCCAAACAGTCATGAAGCTTTCTAGCACTAGATCTCGGGACAGGAAAAGGCCATGTTACCC